ACAGAAAAAGGTTAAAACAGATACAAGAACGGATCGGATGAAACAGAACAGAGTTGAAGCATCTGTCAAAGTATATATAAGTATATGTAAAACTATATGTAGTTACTATACGGTGTGACACAGCTTCCTTCAGTAAGGATAGTTTCAATGGCCTCCGGGTGCTTCAATCAGTTATGGATGAGTTGGATTATTTAGGTTATTTGGGCGTTGGTCTCTTTGATGTGGGAATGACTACAATCTAGACGCCCAACCTTAAAACACCTTGCAGGTGAGGCAGTGGGTGTGATCCTCAATCTGGTCGGGAATGCGGACGCATGCAGTCATGCGGTGGATGCGGCCACGCCCAAGAATCATTGCTGAAGCAAAGTTGTCCATGGCGAGTGTGGACCTCAAGCCGTTGTCAGGCCCAAGCGGAACGCATCTGAAATTAGGTGAAACTCAGCAGTCCCGGGTGATACGCAGCTGACAAGGCGAGGCGTGAGAGACACATCGAGAAGCAAAAGAGAATGCTAATCGAGCATGATATTTGGGTGCTGTAGTCTGAGAACATATTCACCATGGGTTGTCAATTCCCCTTCTAGCGTTTTTCAAACTAAAAAAGTGTACAATTCATGAGAGTAGATTAAACCAGACCTTTACTTCTTCTATATCTTTCTCTCAACGAATCTGTTTTGACGACTCAGAGCCAGTGGAACCCACTGGAGCATTTCGGCTCAAATCGTGTCGGTGCTACTTGGACTAAAATGTTCTGTGTGAAACCCTTTTCCTTCTCCTAAACTTAACTCCTGTTGACCACCTTATCTTTCATCGTTGTTTTTTCCTGCTGGTTTGAATCAAGTGTGCTCCGTCAAACTCTATTTTCCGTAAGCTGATTGTTTCCCATTTCACAGGAACGTTTCAATTTCTGTTTGTATTGCACGGTCTCTTTAGTGGCAATTAATAGAGGTTACTTAATTGGTACAACTAAATCTTTTCTTTCCTTGACTGTCCCAAACTTCCAGCATTAGGTTAAGCGACAACATGGATCCTTCCTCTCTCCCCCTCTCATTAGCTAAGAGCCAACCCAGACTGTTTCCCACTTTACGCTTCCTTTCCCGAGATCTGTTTCTGTTAGAATAACGGTGACTTCCGTCGGATCGGACCGATGTGCAACGGTGATGAAAACAGAAGGATAACCGAAAAACCAAAAGCAACATCCTATAGACTCTTCTATCGACTGGATCGTTTCGTGAAACAAACTCAAAGTGAGTCTGCAGGATCACACACAGCGACTCGATACCCCGTGGAATTTTGATCGATGATAGAAGACCTGGCGAGGTCTGAAAACACTTTTCCCAGTCTTAATCCAATCATCCTCGTCCAAACAGTAATATCACTGAAAAGCGAGTAGTACTGGCATTACTTTATCTAACCGTATTTTCCAAACACAAATCTCCCAGCACATACATAGACAAAGAGAACTTTCAGAAACTCCATCCATTCAGGCTTTGTCTCTGTCCACCTCCACATGATGAAAGTTTTACATCTTTATAGTGTTCGATACTCACTGTTATCATTTCTCGTCCCTGATTGTACTCAATCTTGAATAACATAATTAATTAACATGTGTACACATTTTCAATTGTTGCAATTCCGTTTAAAGTATCAAGATTGTGTGACTTTTCTTCCCCACGCCTTCTTATCTACAGAACTCTAAACTGTCAGAAATATGGTTTGTTGCTCACTTTCTCTTTTATCAATCCCGAGTAAACCAAATGTCCATTGACCTTTTTGTGGTTCTCTTTATTTGTCGCGTTCAAACATAACAGCGTTCCATTGCTTTTTAACTCAACTAATTCTGTCAACCCAAACGTTCTGCCATTTATTTTACAAGCTGATCGCTTTTCCCTACATGCCACACGACTTTCGACGTGAAATACACCGTTGTTATTGAAACAGGTAATTAGGAGTAAGTTAGGGTTCAGTGATGAGAAGGAGGGTCCGGTGTTGAAAAGGTGATATCACTTGTTACAATGATTCACCGAATGGGGTCGGTTCCACTTCTGCAGATTTGAGATTTTTGCAGTTATTGGGCTGTGAGGGTACACCGCATGAACGACCGTTCAATGGTGGAAGGTTGGTCTTTTATCGGCCTCCGGCCGCTTTGGCGTATTCGTGGGTGTGTTTAACCGCACTTTGTCATAAGTGGGGGGAAACCCGAGGAGCCCTATTGGTAAGGTGGGGCTAATGTGCAGACGGGGCTGGGTTTAATCTGCCTTTTGCTTTTCAGCTTGTTTTGTCTCTTGTTCCCAGATGCCTCGATTGAAGTTCTGTTCTGTTCTATGAGATTTTTGTTCGCAGAGTTTGCCACCATTGGCTTAGGGCACATTATGCTCTCGTCTAAAGGTCTGGCTTTCAGGAAGAGGGTTGAGACTTAAGAACCTTGGAGTCCAACCAAACCACTGAGATGCAGGCGCCTCTCAATAGTTTGGGGTCTCTAGTGTCAACTTGGGGACCTTCTGGCTTAGGCTGCGAGAGTCTGACGTGCAAAGATTTGCCTATGGGGACATTCCTCAAACCTAAACCGGAGCGATTTAGGTTCGGTGCTTGGTTGGGAATGGTGACCATAAGGACTCCAAGTAAACAAGAAGACCCAAGCGCCTCCGAGAACCTTAGGCGGTTGGCCAAGTAAAGCTAGAAGGTTTATATTTACGCCGTTTTAGAAGGCTGAATATGTGCTTTTATTTTCTCTTTAAGGTGACATATATGGAGAAACCCCTCAAGAAGGTAATCCGCTTGGCGCAATGTTCGCTGTCTTTTAATTTTGTTGCTGGATTCAGTTCTTCCTGCTGCGAAAGCCTAACAGTCGTGCTCGCAGCGCAAGTTTTTGGGGCAGAAGTTAGGATCAGAGCTTGAACGCTGTCAAGTTGGTCACCAAATATACTTAGCCCAGCTTTTTGGTCTTTTGTTTCCAGGCATTGCTCATGAAGAAGGTCTAACATTTCATTTAGAGAGTGCTCCAATTTCCGGGTAGCCTCGTTTTGACGCATTGGTAAAGTAGCTTGATCTAATGATAGAGGAGACTGCTTGGAGGATAACATAACCAAAACTTCAGTAAAAACAGTAGATTTTCCTAATTGCAGAAACTGAAATTGAAATAGTGAGGGAAATTGATTATCAAAACGTTGGACAGCAAGGTAGGGTTAAATATCGATCGTACCGCACGAGATCATGTCAGGTAAGATCACAGGACTTTTGGTCCGGGCCAATATATGTCTAGGTTCTTGTACTGCAAGCTCCGTGTTCTCGTGGTACTTGGACTGCCAGAATAGTTCAGTTTATTTCAGGTTCGGTCAGTTCAGATCAGGTTGCACATGACAGGCGATGGCCGCGGCCAATCGAGCGTCCAGTGTTCCTTCGATAGCAAGCCACGTGATGGCCTTTACCACTGCGAGTGTTCTATATTGTGGTTTTTCACGTTTTCTGCTCGTTCCAGTTGTCTTCGCCTGTGTAAGAGAAGAGGAAGAAAGGAAAAATATCTTCTTCCCTCGTTCGGGTGAGAGATCACACATTTGGAGGCGTTCGCTTGTTGAGGTATGGTAAACGAGAAAACCGAAAATTGATTTGAGGCCTAATTGCACGCGTCTGGTTCAGGAAATAAGTCCAATCAGCGGCTATTGAGCTACTTCTTAAGCTCATTTACGCTCCCTAGCTCCACCATCTCCTGTGGTAAATTATTCCATTAGTTTACTACCCTATTGCTTAAGAAGTTTGAGCACACCGCTAGTCCCGTGCGCACTTTCTTTAGTTTATACATGTGCGTAGTGGTGTTTTGCAATCTGTCGAAGAACGCTGCCGGATCAGTCCCTGATAACGCATTCATAATTATGAATGCCTCTATCAGTTGACCTCGGAGTTTTCTTTTTTCCAAGGAGAAGAGTTCAAGTTCCTGCAGTCTGCGTATATGGCTTCCCTCGCTGCCCCTCGACCATCTTTATGTCTGATCATTGAACCCCTTGAGACAAGCGGCGTCCTTTTGAAGATGGCAGCCCAGGCTCGTATACAATACTCTAGATGCGGTCAAACAATCGCCTTGTAAAGGGGTACTAATATTTCCGGCTTCCTAAATGTTAGTGCCGACCGCCGTCTAGAAAGCTTTTTACGGGTGCGGTGCGCAGCTGTGGCACACTGTTCTGCCCATCTGTAGTCCGCTGTAACTATGATTCCTAAATTTCTAGAGATTTCTGCGTCGTTCCTATTGAAAGACCGCCGCAGCTACTCTTTAAGACCGGCCCTCGTCTCGAGTGGTCAAGACATACCTCTTTCCTATGTTTAGGAGTGAATCCCATGTACTTGACCACTTGAGCACTTCACGTATATCCCTTGCTACTTCTTCTCTCTCGTCTGATTTTACAAGCTTGACGTCGTCCACAAATATAAAGTTAGGTGAGCCAAAACGCTCAGGAAGACCATTATTGTAGAGCACCAACAGGAGTGGATCTAGGACTGACTCTTGTGGCACCCCACTAGCAGTAGCTTCCACTGGTGAATTCGCCTCCCCGATCCANAAACCTGAAAGCTCCTGTCAGAGAGAAAAGCTGTTAATCACTTGTGGATTCTACCCCTGATCCCTAGAGCATCTATCTTGGCCAAAAGTAAGCGATCATACACTGAGTCAAATTGTTTGTTTAAGTCCAGATTGCGTACTTCTTCTTGTTTACCCTCATCTAGTCTCGCTGTGGCTTTATCTAAGAGGTGCAACAGATTGCTGAGACACCTTATTCCTTTCGAGAAAGCATGTTGTGCTGCAACCAGCAGGCGATGCTGAATGAGGTATTCGCCTAAGTGGGTTTTGATGATTCTCTCTGGAGCTTTTCACAAGATGCTCGCTGGAGTTACTGAAAATAATTCTCCACTTTTTGTCTCGGTCCTCCCTTGTTTATGGTGACCACCGTTGCAGTATTCTAACCCTGTGATATCAAGCCCTGCTCTAGAGTTTTGTTGTAAAAGTGGTAGAGTGGGCCACCTGGAACCTCAGCTATGTGTTTAACTAAGGCTGGGTAGATATCATCTGGTCCGTCGCATTTGGTGGCGTTAAGCTCGACAAAAGTCCTACGCACCTGTTCCAACCCCAATTGTAATCCGGGAATACCCGGTCCAGCAATGCGGAGGTCAGGTTTTGAAGAATCAGAGTGATCCATCCTATGTACGCTTTGAGAGTAGTCCCTAAATTGCACTGCTATATCCGACTCAGGGGTTACCACTTCTCCACCCTTTAATATCAGGGGCTCTAACTTCTCCCTGCGTCTCCCCTTAGATTGGACATGAAGATACAATCGTTTTGGCTGGTATTTAGCACCATTTACCAGCCCGAGCTCGTATTTTCATTTGAGCTTCCGCTGAACTGACACAGCGTTGTTTCTATCCCAGGTATACTGCTTCTACGTTGCGTGGCTACCTGTAGACCTATAGTTGTGGCAGCTCCTATTTATACGCTGTATGGCTCTCCTTATCGCTGAGCGCCACCAAGGAGGTTTCTTCTTCGCTGCCCTGCGGTTCAGGGAGAGAATTCACCCTTCAGGAGGAATAAAAACAATGATAATAAAAATTGTATATTTCACCAAACCCCGGGAGGCATGCACGAGCATGATCATAAGTACAACACATTCATGTGTACGAGACGAGAAAATAATTGATAGTCGCGGTGCACTGGTGCATAGAAGGTAGAGAGTAACGAAAAGAGTTTAGCTGAATTGAACGCTGCAATACAAATGGAACACAAGACGAACAAGGTCACTGAGGAAAATGTTAGGGATGACAGAGTGCTCCAAAACAGCAAGTCAATAGAAATTTCAACAAAAAATGAATCGTTATACCATATAAAAGGCGAATTGTTTGAACGTGCGGCAATCGAAGAGTAAAAGAAGAGGAGCCGGTGATGGATTGATATAGCGCAACAGATGGAAAAAGGCACAGGAACGGATCGGATGGAAGAACACATTAAAGCATCTGTCAGTGTATATGTATTCAACATAGAGTGTTACAGTTGACTTTTGTGAGGACACTTTTGATGGCTTCAGGGGCTTTGATAATAATGGATAATATGGGTCGTTTAACTTATGTAGGCGTGCGTCGCTTTGATGTGAGACTAACCACACGCTAGGCGCCCAACCTTAAAACACCTAATAGGCGAAGCAGGGAGTGCGTTCCTCAACCTGGTCCGGAATCTGGACGCATGCAGTCAAAGCGGTGGATACAGCCGCGCCCAATTATCATTGCCGGAGCAAAACTGTCTATGGCGAGTTTAGACCCCAAGCCTTCGACACGCTCAAGCCAAACAAATCTTTAAATGGAAGGAGAAACGGAATAGTCGGGTGGACACCTAGGTAAGAATGGAAAGTGAGAAAGAAGGAAATGAAAATTCTAATCCAGCTGAGTAATTTGGGTGTTGTAGTCAGACGATACATGCGTTGTGGGTTTCACATCTGGAGTTTTTATAACCCAAGACATGTATTATGGCTGAAG